GCGGGCGGTTGCCTTTCAGTAGCCGTTGGTTCTTCCAATGTGGGTAAATATCTCGTGCGAACCGACGCGCCGACTCGCTGATGGTCTCATCGAACTCTGCTTCGAATTCCTCGTAAGAAAGAACAGGCGAGTTGTCGACGGCTGCATACGGTTGTTTTATCGCGGTGGTCTCTTCGAAGAAGTTGATCACCTCTTCAAACTCGTCTTCTGAGCAGTGGTTGGTTTTGCCCTTCTTTTGGTTGTAAGACTTGAGAAAGGCGACATCATCACTGGTCATGCAATACGGACAGCCAGATGTATCTTCGACGGTAGACGAAAATCGAATGTAAGTGGCGGGCTGCGTGAATCGTTTTGGATAGACATCTTCATACTGCAGTGTACTCGCGACAGCATCCGGAGTCGGGATGTAGAGCTGTGCGATCTTCCCACCAGTCGCTCCCTGCGCTGCTGCCTGGGCGGCGGATATGACAGCTTGTAAATGGTGCTCCTAAACATGATGTTAGTATGTGGTGGGTAAGGGAAAGGGAAAGCCGAAAGCGGCCTAGCGCGACTTACGATCTCCTCGCCCTTCTCAACACCGGTCTCAACCTTGGGAATATGGCGCGACGCATCGTCATCAGCAAGCTGCTCAACATCTTGTTCGCGCACGACAGGTAAATTCTGTTTTGTCGATAGCTTGCGCTGTCTGAAGCGTTGTCCGGTCGCGCGAGCCGTCATTGTTGTTTGTCGTTATGCACGTGACGACGGTTTGGGCTGCGTATGGGGCTTTGGTTGCAAATCTGGCGCCGGGGGCCAGCCAGCGAAGAGAGGAGTCACGCTCCCAGAAGCGCGATCCGACCACCAACGCGTCGCAATATTGTCGATATGGATGTCAAAAGTGTCGCACGGACTTCCGCATGCGTTTTATCGCGTCGAAAGTGATGAAATGAGGTGTTGGGGTGCTGTTTGGCGATGGAAAAGGTTTAGGTGGGCGGCGATGTCGAGCGTGTTCAGCGGATGCGTTGGGGCGGCTTTTTTGGCAAGGAAGTTGCGCACGCAATGGACCAATCATAAGAGAGATCGCCGAGGATAGGTGGAACCTGCGCGATCGTCTTCTGCCCATCGTGCACACTTAGAGGTAGCTGCACATCTTCACCTTCATTGCCTCCGAAGCAGCAACTGCAGAAAGAAGTGCAGCATGCGTACGTGTTTGCATTTAATGTTACTGCGTTCCATGGTTCTGCGTGGAAGGGAGTCCGGATGGCGTTAGCTCGCCTTGGCATGACGCCTGCGGTGACTTCCAGCATCCACGCCATCACCATAACAACACCTGCACCAGCGGCATGCTCGTTCCAGCCAGCGCTTACAGACGTGGAACACTTCTCAACTGCGCACGTTGCACGGCCTGTACCTTGAAATGGACTGCTTTGAAGCCATTCCAACAGTCTTCAACATCCTCGGATACTGACGGACTACAACCATCGAAAAAGCACGCAATCTCATCAAGGCTTAAGTATGATGCCACTCTACGCGCAACTATCTTCAATGGTATGCATACAGTTTGGCTAGGTTCGCTAGGAAGTGACACCCAATGTGAGGCGTCTTCCACGCTGTACGACTGAGTCTACACCCACTGCGTATTCGCTGTTTATACTTATTTCCCTCACGCATCAGCCCTGCCAAGACGACGTGCGAATTACACGTATCCTGTTCTCCATTCTCAAAGCTGGCGACTTTGTTTCTTGGATTGGCCTGATGCTCAAGACATCACCATTCGTCTCGCCTTGCCTCTACTAATCAACCTTCACTGGGAGAGGGTTTCCCGTCATGTTGTATCCCGACTCATATTCCACACTCTTACGGCTCCACTCCTCGTCCAAATATACTTAACAAACTCTATACATCCAAGCGGGCCAATTCTCACGATATCCGTGACGCATCGGCGTTGTTGCAGTCTGTCTTCTCGCTCGGAACGCCTCGGAATGTTCGGAATGTGCTTCCATTAATAGGGCTTGGGGCCTACGTGCATCACAGCAACCGCGCCGCAACCGCGCCCCCAACAATACACGCTCAGCTCGCTATCACTCTGCTCCCATCCCCTCGACGTCTACCTGCAACTACACACCTGTCCACAAATCGAACGCTCGCGGAAAACACGGCATTTTCAGTCAGCCCATTAGAGTCGCTAGCTTGACATGGATCGGTTGCCGCAAGAACTCGTCGAGGAAATCACCAAACACCTGCCCACGGACGATCTCAAGAACGTTCTAACTGTCTCCACAAAGTTTCGTTATGCCGCGGAGAGATATTCTGGCGCTTTCACAGAGTTTACCCTAAATGAGCGTAACGCGGACAAGTTCCTTGGGCTTTACTCAGGACACCGGCTGCTTTACTTGCGGGAATTGCACTTTCGCCCCAACTTCCCTCCAATTTGGCCCCCCGACCCCTGGCCCTGGGAAGACGAGATGTGTCGCGAAAACGCCGATGCAATCAGAGCCAAAAATGAGTGCTTCACGCGTCAGGTCCATTCGCTGTTCACAACGCTCAGTACTGTTGAGGAGAATGCTGCACCCCAGCATGCCTCTGGTCGATATCGAATCCAGATACACGACCCCTCCAGGCTGATTCATGTGGAGATATACTGTCCTCACCAGGAATACATCAGTTGGCGCATTCGTCTGCTCAATGCGGAGCTTCCCCTGGTACATTCAGTTCGTTCGCTGGAGATTTGCAACGAATGCCCAGAAGACGCGAGTGTTTACCACGATAGTCACGGTTATCCTGCAAATTACAGAAAGTGTTTCGATGGTGGATTGTTCAAACTGGACTTGGGGGTCATGGTCGATCTGGTATCGAAGCTTCCAAACCTGGAGTATCTCGGCTGCAAGACAGGAGGGTTCGAATGGGCTCCTGCATTTTCAGGTAATGATGGTAGTGAAGACCCCAACAGACACTTCCAAAGCGATTGAGATGGCCCACGTCGTGATGCGAGGCACAATTTCGCACACGCTGTCATCTCTCACCAAACCCAGCTTCCGACCTCGCTTCAGCGGGCGAGCCTGGATTTCGTCAGCCCGCTGATACGCGCACTTGACACTATTCAAGACAGGCCTTTACCTAATCTAGTTGGTCCAGCTCTCCGCGACCCATTCAGCGCCAGCCTTCGTATCCTGACCAATAATCTGCGACAACTGCGCCTGTGGGCGATTGTTGATGAAAGCCTGTTCAGCATGGACGATAATTCACAGCCGCAATGGCCCAATCTGGAAATTCTGGAAGTCATGTTCCACCCTTCGCGGCCTGACGGATCATGGTACTTCGTCGGACCTCAAGGCCACGGCCGCGAGGCTGTCGGTTACGACATCACCGCTGCCTCGTACCCCCCTCTTGAAACGACCGAGCTCGACATTGATATGGAGGAGCTTGTAACCTCCGGGCATCTCTCCAACTTACCCAATGGCGCGCAAAATCAGTTTCGTATCACACCAGATGAAGCAAGACTGAGGCCGCTCCTAGCAGGATTTTCCAGTGCAGCAGCGCAAATGTGCTCTTTGAGGAGAGCTATCATCTGGACATCGCTGAATTGGTATCCGAAATATGACTACGCAGAGTCCCAAGGCTGGGACTCGGAATATCAAGGACCTGGGTCTAACTGGAGGTCTAACTGGGCTATACAATATTCCGATCAAGACAATGGTATCTGGGGGTCACCATCGCACTATCTCCCAAGTCAACAAAGAAACGACGATCCAACGATACGTTGCCTAGTGTGGATGGTGGCAGCATGGCGTCCAGATGCGGAGCTGCGCCGTCTTTTCCAGAACATTGGGCGAGAGAAGCACGGTAATGATCTGGTCGAGCACTGGGGGGAGGGGTACAGATCTTCCAACTACAGCAATCTTCGCAATTGGATGCTTGATGATCACCAGGGTGACCCAGGCCGCATTACTCCTTCGTTGTCGTAGGATTTGGACTACGAGAAAAGCATGCGAGCAGAATGAACGAATATTGCTGTTAGTGCCATGTAGATGCAGAGCTCACGTTCCAGATTCAAGATGTTTTGTTGTTCTTATCTCTGGTGACGTCGGTGACGCCGGTAAAGTGTGATTCCGTGTAAGATCGAGGCGGAGCTATCGACGAGCAGCCTTCGTGAGCGGCGTTTGCGATCCGCGACAATGCCGCAATTTGAGTAACACCATTATTGGCGACCTGGTCGCATTCGCGGTTGTTTCGCTGGAAATAAGCGACGTTTCGGTGTCCGATTCCAACAATGGTGGGGCTGAATTACCTCACCACCGTAAGCCTTGCAAGTCATTGGTAGCGCATAATCCTCTCGGCTCTGCTTAATCCGACACGACCAAAAGAGACCACTACTATCGTCCGGAAACTGGCACCGCGTTACCTGGTGAAGACTTCGACTATCTCGCGCAGGCCTGAACATGCCGCCCATTCGAAATACATCGTATCTAGCCTGGCTTTCTTTGGCAATAGGTACTTGAGTTCGTCGATTTGCAAGAGTCCATCTCGTCTCCCAGTCGCATCTCGACGGAATCTTGCCATGGCTCTATCATGACGTATACTTCGACTGTGCCATGCATTCAGGAGTCTGTCAGCTTCATCTAACATCAAGCGGCACAGTGGAACTGGGTTGTATGAGTCTCTGCCACGACAACCATGTTCTGGGGCTAAGATGTTCCTTCAGGAATGGGAAGCTTACAGCAGTCGTCATACCTCATGTACCGTCACATTTTTGAACGGCAATGTTCACTGAGCCTCAGAGGCACAGGCTGCCGGGTCCAAAATGACAGCTCATCGACACTCCGAATAGCCAGACCTCACGGCGTGGTTGTATCAGACTGCTTCATGCTAATAGTAGATCTTGGGGGCGTACTTCCCAAGTGTACTCAAGACCAGAATCGATATGAGTATATAAGACTAGGTTTGAACGCGCAAGAGACGGCCATCGAACTACATCGCACCCGTCTTTGCCCAATCGTATCTTTACTATACCACAATTCAACATGAAGGCGTTCCTCAGTCTGTTAGCCGGCCTGACGACATGCATTATCGCGGAGAATTGCGATCCCATCGCCTACGAGCAGTCCAATCCATACGGCTTGTCAGAGACGAAGGATCCCGAAGTCATGAAGAAGCTGAACAAGTATCTAGAGGACAGTAGATATCACATGCTATCCGACGGGTCGGAGCAGAATGTGAAAGAGCAGAGGAAAAAACTAAACACCCTAGAGCCTACTTTAACGGCAGGTCACACACTTTTTAGGTTTTTGTCTCAATGTAGTCCGCAGGCCTGTTTAGTTTCTGCTTGTATAACGTGGGCCTGCTCTTCTGTGCGGTGCGGACAGAACGTATAACAGTATGTATTCCTAGGCATGCACTTTGTACACATCGGATTTCAAGACTAAGATCAAGTTTAGGCTTGATGGTTAAGCCAGGCTACTGCGCTTGTGATCTTCCGATATTGGAATTTGCAGGCGAATTCTTCATTGCAGGACTGATCGAAGCTGGCAAGATCCTCGAGAAGGTTCTGTGTCCCGCGTTGAAAGCCCTCGATGTAGTAATGGCTATTGGGATGGCAGCACTTCCTCCACCAGGACGAGCCATCACAGGTGGAATGGGTGAGCGAGAATTATCTCTTTTGTTTAGTAGCAGACGCTAAAAGATCACTGTAGTGGCTGCTATCCGATTAGCAAAGGCGTACAAGTACGCCTATGAAGCGCAAGACGCAGCGCAAGAATGGGCCGACTTCTTTCTTAGTGGTGCAAACTTTGCGGGACAAGCAGGTTGTAGCCCGCTGGTACTAAGCAGGGACGACTTGATCAAGAAGGTCTTTACTCCTCTGGTCGATGCCCTGGACGAGCTTGTCCCGGGTGGGATGAACTACGATGACCTACTATGTCCCGCGAAAGGCTGCAAAGGATGCAAAGGTCCACGCTGCACGAGAAACGGCGGGAACGGAGACGGAGATACGACCAAGGCTAGTGCCAAACCAGCCCCGACTACTGCAGGTGATCATCCTAGCAGTAAATCTCCACCGGCAGAAACGACTGTTTCTCTCAAGACTTCTTCAACCTTCGCAACGTCTTCTCTTACCGCGTCTACTATATCCTCGCCGACATCTTCCACAACTCCGCCTGTCACAACAACAACGCTTGTTTCCACCACTTTGTCGTCCTCTTCCTCAGCAGCAACCTCCTCCTTGTCCTGCAAAGATCTGGCAGCGCTAGACAAAGATGAAGTCGTAGATGAAGCCAGCCTTCTTTCACGAAGCTACCCAATCGATCTTAGGTATGCTGGCCTCGAGAAGCGTGCGAAACCCAAGGAAGGAAGCGCTTGCGATTACCCACTAGAAAGTTTCCGTTACCCGAGTAGTGGGGAGTGGGAAGCTGACAAGCCCAAAAAATACGGGTTCAACAAACGCGATTCATGCGACGACTACAGTATGGATAAGCCAGATGAGGGTGCCGGTATCCAATATGATACTGAGCACGTTCTAGAATGGCAAACGGTTGTCCAGTTCTTTAATACGATGGGTAAAGAGATCACGACCAAGTTCAAGAATCCGGATCCTCAGCAAAATAACATGGTCGGCTTTTGTGAGTACTGGAGAGAATCCTGGACTTGGAAAGACCATCGAATGGACGGACCTCCTGCCAGTCTGGCCAATACCCCCAATTCACGTCCTAGTCCCAGTCCGAGCGCTAGTCTCAGTCCGAGCCCTAGCCCCAATCTGAGTCCTACGCCGGGTTCAAGCCCTAAGCCGGATCCAGCTGTCATGCAACGTAGTCCGATTGGGTGGCTAGCAAGTGTATACCCGTGGAAACAAGATGGTGACCAAATGTGGCTTGGTGAGATGCCACTCTTGGAAAGTGAAATCAACGCAAGATACAAGGGACGGGTACGTACATCCATGACACGGTGCGGAAATTCAGATTTATATTGACAATACTTCTCACAGCTGTTCATACAGACATTGAAGAAATCTGGCGAATACGAAGATATCGTTGCTGAGAGAAAAATGAAAGCGCTGATCAAGGGGCGTGACAAAAAGCTCAAACTGAGTGTGAACGACCAATCACGCAGGGCGATCCAGAAGATGCGGCCGATGATCGGAGCTCTCAAGTACATGCAACAAGACAGCATCGCAGAAATATTCGCAAACCAGAAAAACAGAATCGGAGCGATGATCGGATACATTGACCGAGAGCTACAGAAAACGCCCCGACAATTTGCGGATGCGACGAAGCCCAAAAGTCAGGAAGACGTGATCGACGCGCTTCCGTGGCAAGAGCAAGGACTTGAGAAGAAATGGGACGCGTACATGGACAATGTGTTTGCGGTGGCAAAGCAGAGAGCGACAGACTTCATGACAGTCAATCTCGACCGTCTGAAAGACGAATGGGAGTCCTCGAAGAAGACCGAAGTGCCCAAGAACTTCAAGGGTGATGCTCAGGCGAAACGGAACGAGAAAAACACGCTGGAAAAGACACAGAAAGATATGCTGGCCCTCATCAAGAAGGCACAAGATGAATGGGACAAGGTCAAAGACTGGGCAATGCCGTGGAAATCAAAGGATGAGAAAGACATGGATGATGATGGCGCCGATCAATGAGACCAAGGAGGAGGCTAAGATCGGGTCTGAGAAGGAGCGCGCATTATGAGACAGGGGTTGTACTGATTGGTGATTATGATTGCTTGGCAGTTGGATTTGGGGGCTGGTCCTTAGATAGCAACTACGTGCGGCGTTCGGGGATGTTTCGTCTGAGATTTTGTACTGGAGTCATGACCTTGTTTATCTCACTCGCTTGTTATTTTGGGCAGTCGTAACCGCCTTATTATGCTCTTTCGCCACTCTTTCCTTTCTATCGCCTATCACGTGTCCATCACTGTTCTCTAGTAGAACATTCAAACAAATGTATTGCTGTAAGCATGAACCATCACGACTGTCTCTCTTACCTCCGCGCGACTTCAACGACAATAGATGCGACAAGTGGTGGGCAGGAAGGAGCCACTGTAGCGCCCGGAATGTTTCGGAATGTTTCGGAATGTTCCGAATTAGCCGCATGTTGTGACTACGCCGCAAATCAGCCCAGAGCTCTGCCACGCGCACCTTCCTCAAGTACAGTAATCTCCCATTGTCATCTCCACAGTCTTCCCACAGAAGTTCAATCGCTTCTCAGCATCGCACTCACCCAACCACCAAACGTTACTCATTACCTCAACTCAACTCATCACATACTCACACCATCATGAACGAACTCCCGCAAGAGCTCATCGAAAGAATCTCTAGCTTTCTACCTAGAGAGGACTTGCGCAGTGTTCTTACTCTAACTAGCAAGTTCCGCTATGCAGCAGAAAGACTCTCTGGGGGTTTTGCTGAATTCGCAGTTACCGAAAGCAACTCAGCCAACTTCCTTACGCGCTTCTCCGGTCATCGCCTCCTCTATCTCAGAGAAGTAACGTTCCGACCAGATGTCTCGGCGACGTACGACTTAAAGGGCAACGATGATGATGACGACGGCAGCGATGATGATGGTGATGATGACGACGTTGATGGAGATGACGATCGAGTATTTTGTCGAGAGAGTGCTGACGAGGTACGCGAGAGAGACGAGTCATTCACCCGCCAGATGCAATTTTTGTTCGACATCCTCCAACAAGTCGAAAAGCAGGCCGGAAAATACCACGCTCCGGGCAGGTATCGACTCACGATCTACAACCCGATAAGAAGAACGGAAAACGAAGACGCATGCCCCCATCGCTATATGACCAGCTGGCGCGTCCGGCTACTAGCCAAAGAACTACCTCCCATCGCGTCCATCCGATCGTTCAGAATCGTTAGTAACGACAGGAAAGGGTACGAGTACGAGTACCCTCCCTGGGATGAATATGCATATACGTATCGCCTTCGAGACAATTATTCCGAGATGCAGGAATCGAAGCTCGACCTGCGGGTTCTCATCGACCTAGCGACCAGCATGCCCAATCTAGAATATCTGGGTACCCGGACCGGAGGGTACGAATGGTGCGAAACCCTGGATGAAGAAGAAGATCCGTGTAGTGGACACTACGAGCACGACTGGGCAGGACCGCGACGAGATGCCCGACATGATTTCGCTGCCGCAGTTACCAGCTGTGTCGACAAGCTACCCAAAACGCTGAGGCGAGCTTCGCTCGACTTTTTATACCCCTTAAGTCGGGTGACTGACTATGATCACGGAACGCTTTTTCCAGATCTTGTAGGTAGCAACCTTACTCACGATCCTTTCTCGACGAGCCTCGGTATCTTGTGCAACAACCTTCGCCACCTGTAAGTCATATTCATGCATACACAGACTAATATGAGACCAATAAATTAACTCGTACATTTAGGCAACTACGGGCCATGATTGACGAGAGCATCTTCCCTGCACTATCGCCACAGAATTCCGCAACATCACACACTCCCTGGCCACACCTTGAACTACTTGATCTCATGTTTCACAACGCCCGTCCGGATGGCACATGGTATTTCCAAGGCACTGATGGCCGAGGCGACGTTGCACGCGGTCTCCCTGTCACAGACGCTTCCTACCCACCCTATAGTCGCACTCAGTTCGATGAGGACATGGACGAATATTATGTCGAAAACATTCGGGGTGGAAGACAGACACGTGGTAAGGATAATTACGAGTTCCGGATTGCTCCTCATGCCAATCTCATCTTACTGCTCGAACGCTTTGCAAGAGCAGCGATACAGATGCCGGCGCTCAAGGAAGCAGTAATATGGTCACCCATACAGGGGCAAGATGTGTACCCCGAGCGGCCGATGAGTCAACGTAACCTAGATGTGATATGGGGTATTGAATACGCTGAACCCAGGTCCTCTATCAATGATGGATCAACTCGGCAATTAGATTGGTTGGTAGGGAAGTGGCGCCCTGGGAAGGAACTGCACAGCCTTTTTCAGGAAATTGGACGCGCGAAACACGGGGATGAACTTGCCGAGTCCTGGTACCAGGATCACGAATGGGACCGAATGGGGTACTTGTACGAAGTGGAACGCGTCGCACAGATGAGGTTTCGCAATTACGGGAAATGCGTTTAAGAAGAGAAACGGACGAGCAAACAACCACCTGGTAGTCCTCCACGAAATGTCTATTATGAAGTTTACAAACCGACCAACTTATTAATTAACAATCTAACTGACAAACGACCTAACCAACTAAATTAGAACTTAACAGCCGAACAACCTGACTAACAACCTAACAACCGAACAACTAAGCAACCGAACAACCGAATAACCTTACAATCGAAGAACCTAAAAGACTAACTACTCTAACTCTACTCTAACCTAAGACAAACACTCTACATTAAAGAACACTACAAGACAGGCGCAGAGACGTACCTAAATAACCATCTAACAAACCAACAACCTCTAAGTCTACTCTAATCTAACAGAAACACACTACAACATAGGTACCTTAAGACAGGCGCAGAGATAAACGCAACACATTCACGCTCTATCTCTCTAAATTGTCTATACCTTCTAAAACTAACCGTATACCTTCTCCCAAGAAGTATCGCGAACAAGAAGAAAAAGATACACCTAATAACGCATAGAACTACGACAACTTAGCACAAAAGTTTGTAAGAAGAAGTAAGCTATTGTTTACATTGCGGCGATGTGCATACTTTAACACGGGCAGCGGCATCAGCACCAGCATCAGCACCTTGAACAAAATAAGACGCCCGGGCTAGATAGCATGCACTCACAATACAAACACTTACCCTTCGGGAAAGTTGTTAGGAAACTGGAATGCTGACTTTGTGTATATAAGCTCGCAGCGAGCTCTATGTACAAGACCTCGCAAGACTACGTAAGATATCCCAAACGTTCACATACCAACAAGAGCTCTTCTAAAGCAATTCCGTAGAAAACTAACTCTGAAACTAATAACCTCGTGGCAGAGACAGCAACGCCTTCTCCCATCCCTCACACCCTCCAGGCAGTCTTCGACAAATCTACCAACGAAAGTTGGGGGTTTGGCGCAGCACTAGGGAATCTCACAACACCTCATTTCCACTTTCACTTCGCTCATGCCCCCATCATCTCATTCCTTTACCAGAACAATGAACACTAAACAATATCATTACAACTAAAATTCTACTAACCCTAGAGCCTACGTTGGCGTTGAGTCGACTACTTTGCGTGGTGTAAACTCGATGTAAGCTGCAGGCCTAACGCACCCCATCACCTCACCACCGTTCCTCCCCTCTCGCTCCATCCCCTCTCGCTCCATCCCCTCTCGCTCCATCCCCTCTCCTCTCTCCCTCCCTCCATCCCCCCACCCCATGCCTACCGCATAAAACTCCCAAAGTTCAAAAACGTACTCCCACTCGGTTTCTGCGTCGCACTCCTCGGCGTAACCGGCCGAGCCTTGTGTTCCAATTCCTCCTTCGCTTGGACGGTGACAGGTTTGAAAGACATGGGTTGGTACGGCGGACCACCTTGTTGGGTGGAAGACTGTTGCTGTGGCTGCGCTAGCGACGACTTTGGCTGGGAATATGACTGGGATGGTTGCGGGTGCCATGGCATACCAGCCGGAGCCCATGCTGTCGAATTTGTATTCATATTTGAGGCTGTGGTGTTCCTGAAGGAAGTGGGTTGCTCGCGGGTGTACAATCCAGAAGGCTGTTGTGTAGATGCAGAAAATGTGGATAAGAGCGGCTCACTGCGTTTCCTCTGCAGATTCCTCCGTCGACTATCCTGCGCCGACTTCTCCAGCTTCTCAGCAATCTTACTCGTCTTCGCCGTATCCATGGTGAACCAGCCCGCATCCAGAATCTGCTGGGCTGTAGGCCTATCCGTAGGAACAGGATTGAGAACCCAGCTCAGGAACTTGATTTCCTTCTCCGGAACACCCTTCTCCAGCAACCTCTCCCAGTGTTGTCCTTCGTGGTGGGAGCGGTCGTGGTATGGGAGTCTGCAGCCGTCGTAGTAATCCAGCGCACCGAGGCCGAAGTCGTGTGCTATAGCTCGTTCGACGGATCGCTCTTTCTGGCCTTGACCTGTGTTGCCTTGAAGGAGCTCGTCGTAGATGCCGTATTTGTTGAAGGAGGCTTGTGCTTCGAGGAGCTGGCAGTAGATGACGCCCCAGGACCAGATGTCGGCTGGCTGGTTGATCTCGTTGCGGAAGTAGACTTCGGGGGCGCGGTATACGATGGGTTGGACGAGGCCTTTTGCTGGCTCCATGACGATTCCTAGGTCGCCTAGCTTGGCGGTGATGCGGTCGTCGCCGACGGAGGCTTTTTTGTTGGGTTCGTCTTCGAAGCCGCTTAGGAGGATGTTCTGCATCTTCAGGTCTGGGTGGGGTTAGCTTTTACTTGTCATCCTGGTTGTGTGTGTAGAGGCTCACCTGCATACACCAAGCCTCGTTGATGCACATCCCGCAAGCCCATCAACGCCGAGCGCATGATACCCTTGAGTTCCACATCGCTGAACTGGCGCTTCTTGCGCGCATCCCAGAGAGTCGATTGGAGGATCTCGAGCACGATTCGGGGCGGTTCGCCTCTAGCGGATGGTGGGATGCGGTCCACTTGTTGTCGGATTGTTGGAATGCCCTTGAGGAG